TGCTGCCACCTAGGGGGAGCTCTAGGCTCCCCCTAGGTGCTAGTCCAGGGGCTGGCAGGGAGCACGGGCCAGGAAACAGCTGTCTCCTGGCCCGGGCTGGGACATTACATCCTGTCCTCAGGGGGCTGCCTACTGCCTGGGTGGGGACAATGTCCCCTTGCCCTGTAAACAAATTAGTAAATTTTCTAGTAAACAAATTTACTAGCTGGACGCAGCTGTGTCGACCGTTGTAAAGGTGAAACTGGCATGGGAACCTTGAAACAGGATGTCAATTTATAAATGTTGTAAATGCCGTTTGTTGTAAGTCAGTCATACATCAAGGACTGCCTGTATAAAACCTTTTCTTACTTTTTAAAATCAATAAATTGATCCATTAACAGCTCTGGAGAGCTATTAAATTGTAATATCCATAATTGTAAAAACATAAACACAAGAGAACAGAATTTGCTGCTGATGTTCTAGGGATTATTTTGTGCCAAGGCTGTCTTTCAAGTTGGGAACAAATAGATGCAGCACAGGTTTCATTCATTCAGTCATTCATTCATGCATTTATTTTACAGGTTTACATTTGAGATATTTCTAAAAGTGTTTTCACTGTATTTTTTTAATATATCATGGGACCTAGTCTCCACCTCAGGGCTTGCTAGTACCTATGTTGGGTTATATATTACAAAATAGCTTAAAAAAATATAGGTAAAACAAAAAGTAGCAAGATTAGTTAATATTAGGGGTGCACTGATAAAGATTTTTTTTGGCCGATACTGATGGCCAATTATTAACTAGCCATATCAGCCAATACTGATCTGATTGACGATATGCAGCCCAGCAACGTGGAGAGCAGCATCCAGCTGGTAAGTCTGTGGGGGTGGGAGGGCAGATTAAGGCCCCCAAGGTGAGGGAGGGAGTGGGGCTGGGGTAGGTGCTGCCTGGGTGGGGTGTGGAGCAGAGCCACCCCAAAATTTGCCAGAGCCCCTGCTCCCAGTGCCACCACCTGCCTGCCCTGAGCCCCAGCCCAGCCTCCACACTGTGAGGAGGCTTACAGAACCCCTGGCCCTGAGCCTGCAGCAGGCAGCCTTCCCTCGCCCCGCACACAAATGCTATACTGGCCAAAAAAGTCAATTACCGATAATGTCAATTTTCCTTTTATTGGTGCTGGTAGGATATGGACCAATATATCGGTGCACTTCTAGTTAATATAACTTTCTGTGCAATATCAAGTCAATTTTGGGGGCAGGGATTTTTTTGGTCTGTTTGTTGTATTACCTACTACACGAAAGTCCTGTTCTGTCATTGACACTCCAAGTTGCTGTCTCAATACAAATAGGGGAAAAAAATTGTCTATTTCATGCTTATTTTTTATACTTTTTAAAAATTATTAAAGGAAAGGATTGTAGTAATTTTCATTGGGATTTCTTTAACATACATCATTTAAATAAGAATTGTAATATTCTTAAGGCACTAAGAATATGTACTAACAGTGATTGACTATAGAAAAATTCTCATGAAAAATCTTTTTTTCCTAATTTTTATGTATTCCTAAACTTATGCCCTGTATATGATTATATTTTCATTGCTTTATTGAGCAGTTTACCTAAGGTTCCAAGTATTCCAGAATCCTGCAGCTATGGTATTTGTCTTTGAATACAGTCTTTCCTACCAAATTGTGCTCCTGAATCTAAGCTTTTTGTTTTGATCCTGGTCTCAGAGATAACGTTAACATTCTGAACAGCTTACAAACAATGAAATGACCTCTGCAAGAATGCCTGACACAACTCTTAAGACTTAAGAGGTGTTAACTAATAAACTCCTTCATTTAACTCAGAGCTGTGTGGATTCTGTGATTTCATGGCTGTGGAGTTTGGTGTTTTTGTCAAGATCTTACCAGGCTCAGTATTTGGTCTACAGAATTTACCATGTTTTTGGAACAAGCCACCTAATTTTTTTTTTTTTGTCTCTTGCCCTGCAGTTGCCTCTTGTAGCCCAGTTTTCTCCCCAGAGGGGGAGTTAATTGAGTTAGAGTGATTTGCTTCCTGTACTGTATGATAGAATGGGCAATGTGGGTCACTAAGTCGAAGTTAGTTAAGCTTGAAGTCAATGGTGGGAGTTAGAAATGTGGACTTCAGAAAAGTACAGTAGCTGAGGCTCTCCGAGATGAGCTGCTAATGCTGAATGTAAGCTCTCCCTTTTTCTGGCATACTTAAGGACAAGGTGTTTGATTTAAGTGTCCTGGCCAGTATCACAAGAATAGGAACTTCTGAGCGAGTACATGGTTGGAAATCGTAGTAAAAAGTCTAATTTTTTAAAATAAGTACCAACACATTATACTTCTGTATTGTCAATTATGAGTCATAGATAAGAGTGTAGGAGGATGGGACTTGTTAGGGGAAAGAGGTCTTTTCACTCTTCACTGTACGCTACCATAGATCACATCAGCAGAGACACTAGAGCTCTCATAAATTAAGCATGCAGGACATGGAGCTATTCCTTCATGCCCATGGAGCTCCTGGGAGGCCAGGGAATTTGCCAGCACAGCCTGGTGTGAAATTCAGGGCTACAGGGCCATGTTGGGCATGGCTGTCACTGGTTGGGTGGCATGTGAAGACTGTGCCAACACAGTGCCCATCACCCTACTGCTGCCAGGTCTGGCTCTGGCCTTCAGGGACCCCTGCAGTCCAGATCTGGCATGAGGGGTGTGGTGAGATTGATATCCCTGATACAAGTGATGGCACCCCAGATCCCAGAAATGCCTTCAGTACCCCACAAGTCTCCTTAGAAATAAGGAATGGGGAACCCTGTTTTCATCTTCTTTCCTATTGATGCTGAACTAGTGGTAATACTAAACTGGGTATCATTATGGGCAGTCTGCTGCTTGATTAGCAACTAATTTATGGTTTGGAGGAAGCTAAAGTTGTATTATAGAAATTTGTAGAAATAATTTAGTGAGGATTGAATAAACAAATGGTTTTCAAGAATTGAGATCTTGTCATTGTAGAGTGTATTCACTTTTTTGCCACAGCATGCACACAGGCTCTGAATTAACACCATATTTAAAATAGTCGCTAAGAATTGTAATTGTTTAAATGTTTTTGCAACTTAAAATTCTTATGTTTTTCCAAGGTGTTGTGTATCAGCAAAATTAAAAAATATACCCTTTAGGTATCTTTCTTGACATAGTTATAGTTTTTAAAATGTTACATTGTGCAAGTGTAGCCATAATAATACACAGTATGAGAGAATTTATTTTAGGACAAGCTTTCAGTATCATCTTGTTTAAATAAATGTCATCTTTTGTTGGTTTAGTGTTCACAATTGAAGACTTATTTGTTAGGGAATTTTAGAAGAAAAATATCCAGATAATGTCTTTTTTTCCTTTAAATATTTCCCGTGAGTTCAACATTACAGGACAGCCAATAGAATTAGCATTTCCACAACTGGACCCCATTTTGCTAACCAACATATCCATTAAACCTGCTTTGAACTTGGTTGTAAAATCATTAGAACTCTCCAGTGCTCTTTTACAGAAGTGTAGAAAATAAGTATGGATGGGATGTTGAGAGCTTATTTAGCATTCTAATACGAGGTGGGCAATGCTTTGATGTGGGTGGGGTGTTGAGGGAGAGAGGCAAAGTGACCCACTTAAGTGGGCACTAGGACCTGGCCTCCTCCACCACTTTTTTCCCTGTGGTCCAGCTGCAGCTCAGGATGGGCAGAGCTTCCCTCTGCCAAAACCCCTGGTGCCTGACTGGTGTGGCACAGGGTGAGTTCTCTATCCTCTGTCGAGGCCCAGGCCACCTGACTCCAGGTGGCACAGGCAGAGCTCCCCCTGCCACCAAATGCCATTGAAGCCAAGGCTTCACGGGCTGGGCTGTAGGTTGCTGACCCATGTTCTAGCCTATTGCGCTATCTCAAGACAAGATTAACTCTACTTAAATATAGAGGTGCTTACTGGTGTTCATGCCACTTCAAATAAATCAGCTGTAAAACCAGCAGATTTTTTCTTTGTTTCTGGTATAAATATGAAGTGAGAGTCTGGAAATCAAAGTTCTTTCCTGCTCATCATATCATAATGTGTGACCTCTGGCAAGCAAGGAACCATCAGCTCTTGTCTAGTTTAATCTAATTTTTTAGTTCACTACGCCACTCTCTGGAGCTGTGTAAGTAATTAATATTTTGGTTTGCTGGCCAAACTGACATCAGGGGAGGGGGCTCAGGTTGACTTGAAAATTTTTTCTCCAGTTTTTTTCAGAAAAAAAATATTTTGAATATTTTGGATAATTTTTCCCCTCCATGTTTTAGGTAAATGTAAGAAAAAATTGAAATTAAAATAATTTTGAAGAATAAATTTTAAACGTTCTGTTCCAACATGTTGAAACAAAGTACCAGACCTTTTGAAAAAAAAATTTCCAGCAAAATCTGTACACAAATTTGTGAATAGCTTTGATTGACCCAGTGCTGTATTTTTATCAGATAACCATTTGAAACATTTTTTTCCCAGCCATAATTATACTTGTCTCTATCTCCCAGATTTTACTGTGACTGCAACATTTTCCCTAATTTTTAAAATATTCTTTGTTCTTTGCAGCTGTATAAAAACTCACGGGATCAGGGAGAACTGAAAATTAAGCAAACTTTCCAGAAGGTTCTATTCAATGCATAAAATAAAGTGAAGGACCAGAAAGTTCTGTTTTCCTTCAGTCTTTGTTTAATTACAACAGATTTCAATGGTAGTTGTAACAGTAGGAGGTAAACAGTTTTTCAAACAAATTATTTTTAAGTTGATTATGTGCTTTCAATATACCTTTGTGCTGCACCTTTCCATATTATTCCCCACTGCAAGTGGGGAATAATAATGCTTTCTTTACTTTTTTGAACTCTAAGGTTGTGTGCAAAGTATTAATTTATCCAGTGTTGTTTACTTTGTAGGCTAAGACAATGGATGTCAACTGATGCAAATATCATGGGCATGAATGCTATATTAAAATGTTATATTGTTTTCCTAGGAGGAGAGACTTCAGCATGCAAACCTTCATCTGTTCGGCTTGCACCGTCATTTTCATTCCATGCTGCTGGCCTTCAGATGGCTGGACAGATGTCCCATTCACATCAGCAGTACAGTGATCGTCGGCAGCAGAACATAAATGACCAACAGGTTTCTGCCTTAACTTATGCTGACCAGATTCAACAACCTCTAGCCAACCAGGTTTGTATTATCAAGAAAGACGCTTTCTATTTTTGAATTGCACGCTTTTTCCTTAAATATTTTGAATGCATAACCCATGAGGCATTTTTGAAGAGAAGAAACAATGATCAGCAAGGTTAACACCTGATAAACGATCTGATCTTTATCTGATCAACATTTATTTTTGGTGGGGTTTTTTTTTTTAATTCAGAAAGTTTGCTGTATTCCGAGAACTCATAAAGAGCAAACTTTGAAAGGAAGAATTCTGTTTTGACTATTTTAATCACAGAAATAGAGTTAAAAGTAATGAAATAGGAATTTTTGTCTACCAAGGATGAGTCTGAGGACAGTCTTGCTACATGTACATTTAAGTTAAAATTTGATTGCTTTACATTTTTTTTTTTCAGGAGAGATTGTTTGGAGAATTTTGTTAGTAATTTTGGATTGTAAAGTAGTTGTAGAATTTTTTGGTGCAAATATCCTAATTTAAGACACTAGAACAAACCTGGGCTATCACCAGAACTTTTACCAGTGGTCCTCTGCCCCGTCAGTATTGGGCATTTTTTGCAGATGGTGGTTCCCATCTTGGATAGGTCATGTGGGTATACTGCAGGAACATGAAGAGTAAAGGTGGTTGCCCCATGGCTGACAGGATCAGTTTGCCTCCCTTTGCTACCTTTAGAATGCTAAAATTTCCCCACTTTTCCCTGAATAGCCTTCCTCTCAAATTCTCCTCTTATCTCACAGGAAAGCAGATTACTTTCTTTAGAAACTTGGCCCAGCAGCTACTCTGTGCATATATGTCTAAGAATTCTGGTTCTTAACCTTTTAAGGCAGAGCTGAAAAACACCATATAGGCTAAATAAGTGGCCCAACTGAAGAGAAGGGAACAGTGTCACTTCTCCTTTGTCCCTATCATCTTGGATGCACTGCACTACAGTTGTGAGAGTCTTTACTCACATATAATTTACTTTAAAAGTAAGTGAAGAGGGAATGAACTGCACAATAGGAAGGATAGAGACTGAGGATGCTCAGGATCAGTCCCCAAGAAATATACGATTCTCAGACTTAGGATAAGGTGCCAATAAAAAAAAAGGGTTGCTGAGATCTTTCAGAGGAATCTATAAGTGAATGCAGGCCTCTCAAGAGTGACAGAGTGGGTGATCCTAACTGTCAGAGGATATGCTTTCCCTTTTGAAAAAGAATGAGAAAGATCACTTCTGTGTTTAAAGGCGTGTGGAGTTCACAACCTACCTCTAGAAGGAGCATTGTAGGGGGAAAATATTTATGTCAGCGTTTGATTGGATTTTGTGCTTTTTTATGTTCTCTAATGTTAAGAGAAAGATAGATGTCAAATGCCACCCTTTTGGGATCTACTGTAATTTTTATGATAGATATGACATACAGCATACAACTGCCTTAAAAACCCAGATGGTCTCTATAGCAGCAAAGAGAGATTCCTGTAGAGTGAAGCAGTTATCAGCTGATTAGATAAATGATCATGGCCAACCTTGTTGAACAGCCATAGATTTCATAGACATTAGGGCTGGAAGGGACCTCGGAAGATCATCTAGTCCAGCTCCCTGCCCAAAGGGCAGGAAATCAGCTGGAGTCATAGGATCCCAGCAAGATAAGCACCCAGTTTTCTCTTGAAGGTGTTCAATGTAGGTGCTTGAACCACCTCCGACGGCAGGCTATTCCAGACCTTGGGGGCTCGAACAGTAAAGAAATTCTTCCTTATGTCCAGCTTGAAACAGTCTTGCAGTAGTTTATAACCGTTTGACCTCGTCATCCCTTGGGGCGCTCTGGTGAACAAACGTTCCCCCAGATACTGGTGGTCACCCCCGATAAACTTATAGGTGGCCATCAGATCAGCCCTGAGCCTGAGCTTTTCCAGGCTAAAGAGCCCCATAGCTCTCAGCCCGTTGTCATAAGGTCTGTTTTCCTGACCTCTGATCATGTGCGTGGGTCTTCTCTGGACTCTCTCAAGCTTCTCCACATCCTTTTTGAATTGTGGGGCCCAAAACTGGATGCAGTACTCCAGCTGCGGCCTCACCAAGGCCGAGTACAAGGGGAGAATGATGTCCCAGGATTTGCTTGAGAAGCGTCTGTGGATGCAAGCCAGCGTTTTGGTTGCTTTACTAGCCGCAGCATCGCACTGCAGGCTCATGGTCATCTTGTGGTCAATGATGACCCCCAAGTCTCTTTCTTCCATAGTGCTAGCCAACATAGCACTGCCTAGCCTATAAGGATGCTGCGGGTTTTTCTTCCCAAGGTGGAGAACCTTGCATTTATCGGCGTTGAACACCATCATCCAAAGTTTGGTGTCATCGGCGAACTTGGCCAGTCTGCTTCTGACTCCAGTGTCCACATCATTAATGAAGATGTTGAACAATATGGGTCCAAGGACAGAGTCTTGGGGGACCCCACTGGTCACAGGGCACCATGACGATTGACTTCCATCAGTTACCACCCTCTGGGTCCGACCACGGAGCCAATTTCCCAGCCAGCGGATCGTGGTGGACCCAAGGCCACAATTGGCCAGTTTTGCCAAGAGGTGATCATGGGATACCAGATCGAAGGCTTTTTTGAAGTCAAGCTATATGACATCAATCTCTTCTGCCTTGTCCAGGTGATAGGTCACCTGGCTGTAAAAGGAAATGAGATTGGTCAAGTAAGACCTACCTGCAACAAACCCATGCTGGCTATCCCTCAGGATGTTGGCCAGTCCATTAAGGATGGCCTCTTTAATAAATTTTTCTAAGATCTTCTCCGGGATAGAGGTCAGGCTGATGGGCCTATAGTTAGCCGGATCCACTTTCCTCCCTTTCTTGAAGATAGGCACCACATTGGCTTTTTTACAGTCTTCGGGCACTACACCAGAGCGCCAGGAGTTCTCAAAGATCCATGCCAGAGGCTGGGCTATGATGCTCGCCAGCTCCTTGAGTACCCTGGGGCGTAGATTGTCAGGGCCAGGTGACTTGAAGGTATCCAGCCTCTCAAGGTGTTCCTTTACGAAGTCAGCATTGATGGAGGGCAAGGGATCTCCCTCATCCGGACCTCCCTGATCTGTAGTGGGCATGGACGTCCCATGGGACTGATGAAAGACTGACGCAAATTACCCATTTAATAGGTTGGCTTTTTCCTGGGCATCAGTTGTCAGTTGTTCCACTTGTCAGTCCTGCTTGGCAGATTGCTCCAGAATCTAAAGACCTCTTTTTTCCACAAATGAAACCTAGGCTTCCTGCAATACAGTAATATTTGTCTTGATCTAATGAGCTTTTGCCTCTATAAATCTACCCCTATCCACTAGGGAAAATATTGCCTTTATCCCTTTAAAGAGTCCTGGCAAATTCCAATTTATTTCGTACCCACAGAAGAATGTTTTGAGCCCTAGGAGTCGATCTGAAAGTATATTGCTACTTGCTCAGTGGATAGCCTATACCATGTTGTTGCACACAGCAGCCTTAGGTTTTTAAGAAGAATCCTATTTCATCAGATTTTTCATTTGGTCATCTTATTCTATCACGAGAAAGCAGCAGCATGTACAAGACTTCAGATGACCTGCAGAATCTGTAGAATATACCAGCAATTATACCAGCAATTATTCTGGTTTCCTCAGACTAGTGAGAATGGAGGGCTTCGTTGATCTGCCTCACATTTCCCAGTAGTGGTGGCCTGTACAGAATACTACATCTGATGAAAACTTCCTTAATTTTGGATTCCTAAGAAGATGCAGGGTAAAATTACAGGATTAGTCTGTCAGTTTGAGAGTGCTGCTGTGCTCCTTATGACTTTGAATCCATGTCCCAAATTAGCATGACGTCAGTGATTTCTTTGTTACACAATATCAGGGCACTTACAGAATCTCAGGCTGGTCTACTACAGGCACTAGGTATGCACAGCAATTGGGATGAATTTTATGAGAGTCAAGATGGAGTACCAGAGTAGACTCTGATCTGTAAACTCAAGATGGAATCATTGACCAAAGGAAGAATTCCTTCCTGTCTTCATGTCAACAGCTGGTCTGTGTAAGTACCTAGCTTTGCATTAAAGCTGACAACGACGTAATTCAGAGTACATGTCTGAAGCTGTACTGCCACTTGCCAACTGTGTGGATAGTGCTCTCCATGAATTATCTAAAAGTGCTGTAATCCATGGTTGCTTGCTTAGATGGTCTGCTGTACCCACATCTGTAGGAGTGTGACAGTCATTCCCACTTTGAAGTCAAGAAGCAAGATCCAGTAAAGAAGTTCAGGATGTACTATCAACTTTGTCAGCAATCAAGGTGGCTAAAAGTGGGTTTGTTTTTTTCTGGATATCAGAAATCTGAAAAGTGTCTCTCTGGGTTGTCTCTGATAATTAACTCCATTAAAGGTGCCAGCTCATTAAGTTTTGAAAAAGTTGGTGTTGCTCGGTGGGAATAGTCCACAAAGAAGAGGAGTGGAGCCAGTAGCACCCAAATGAAGGCAGAAGAGTTCATTTTGCTCCAGTAGTGTACTGTTGAATTCCACAGCTCTCTTCTGATTCTCCCCCTTTCTCTCTAATCACTCCTTCAGCCTTTCTTGGAATCATCTCCATCCTTCTCCAACTTCCTATTGGAGATTCCACAAGGCACTGTCCTTGGTCCCTTTCTCTTCTCCTTTTGCATTTTTATTTCTGGTTTATCTGATCTGCAAACAAAAATTTAACTAACAACTTAAGCTGATGATTTCCTTCTGTCAAAACAAAAATCTGAGCCTCTCTCTTTATCCCCTCATTGATGTTTAGCTGTCAGCTCAAGCTCAGTTTTCATAAAACAGAGCAGTTAATCTCCTTTCTCACTCAAAGCCCTTTGCAGTACTTCCTTTTTTGCTCGCTCTGAACACCACCATAATTTTGGTTGTCATGTGCGACCATAACCTGGATGCTGTCTTCCACTTGGACCTTTATTTCTGTGTCTCCATTGGCACCCTTTTGTCTATCTTTTGAAACCATCTACTTGTCTTTAACCCCCTGGATCCCTTCATGGTATATCTCTC